TATTCAGTGAGAACTTTCCAGATCAGTATAGAACTCTGCAATTTCCTTTTCACTGTTGTTTAACATTTCATGGTATAAATGTACCCTTTTTCCTGTTAAGTATGTGAAAGTGTGTTTTGTCTTGAAGAGTAAATGCTGAGGAATGGAACTATTGGATGTATTTTAAATTATTATTGGGCTGGAGGTTTAGCTCAGTGCAGAGTTCATGCTTAGCCTGAGCAAAGCGCTGAGTTCAATCCCCAGCACCACATAAAAAATATATGTGTATATTATACATTGTTTCAATATGCTGATATATATACTCCCATCACCAGTCCTTGAGAAGGCCCTTGGGGCTTTCACTCACAAAACTTCCTCCCTCAGGCCCAGCTCTGAACTCATGGAGGCTGGACTAAAGAAAAAACAAAAAGACATACACAAGTCACCTTGCTCTGTGATCCCAAGACTCAGGCTTTAGGGCACTCTGAGAGTGCTACCCTGTGCTACACTGGGAAAGAGAATCCATATGATTAAATTGCTCACAGGTTATTGTTTATTTTAAAAGGTCATTTTTAAAAAAGGTACTTTATCTCTATGGTCCTGATTTTAAGTAGTAATTAAAGTTAACAGGTGTGTGTGTGTGTGTGTGTGTGTGTGTGTGTTTATCCCAACTCTATGGTTACCCAGTACCACTCCTCAGAGACAGCCATTATTATCTCTTTATTGTGTATTCCTTCAGAAATATGTATATGTAAGTAAAATATGCATGTATGTGTATAACTTTCACCATTTTCCCCCAAATGGATACATATTTTTGCATAGCAATGTAATAGAAGGCTTAAGAGTGTAGATTCTAAAGCCTGCTTCCTGTGTTCAAATCCCAGCTCTACCACATATTACCTTTATGGCCCCTAAGCAATTAAATGCTGTCTGCCTCAGTTTCTCCATTTGCAAAGTGAGGATTATTGCTAGAGTTATAAAAAGAATAAATGGGTTAATATTAAGACTGTATCTAGAACACAGTAAGAAGCATAAATTTATTTGTCAGATAGTAAAAAAATAAAAAAAGAACAAAATAAGGAAGGTAGCAAGGAACTGTCCAGTTGCACTTTGCTTTTAACAAAATATCTGAGTTTATTCCTCCTTCTTTTACAGCTGGGTGAAATCCTTTGTGTGAATAAGACACTGGGTGTTTTCCAGCCTCCCTGGTTAAGGGTAGAGTGATCATCCGTTCTTTTTCTTCTCAAAACCACTCTGATGAATAACCTGGTTTATGCACGTGTGTGAATGTCTGCTGAATAAATTCATCAAAGTAGAATTGCTGGGTCAAAGAGTATGTGCATCTCATAATGTTGATGGCTGTCGCCTCTTCACCTTTGTGGCATTTACACCTGTTTACCCTTGTGAACAACAGTGTGGGAAAGGGCCTGTTTCCCAGACCCCTGAAAACAGTGCTAACGAGCTTTTTGATCTTTACCCAAGTGATAAATAAGAATTGTATCTCCATGTGTTGTAATCTGCATGTCTCTTTATGATGAATGAGAGTGTGTATCTTTTCATATGTTCCAAAGCTCTATGTCCTTGTCTGCAAACTGTCCTTTTGCTTTCTCCGTCTTATAAATGTGTTATTATTTATTTATTCCTCACTAACTTATTAGTTCTTATTCATTCCTTACAGATTTCTAGGACCTTTTACATATTAAGGAAGTTTGCTCTTTGTGATTTGAATGACAGTTACTCTCCCTGTCTTTTCACTTTTGTTTAGGGAATTTACCAGACAGATATATTAAAAATTGTTTTTCTGGTCTAATTTATCAATCCTTTCTGTAATGGTTTTTGGGGGTTGTATCATAGAATAGCCTATATACTACTCTTCCATGATAAAAGATTTGCATACAATTCCAAAGGATCTTTTAGTACTTTTATGGTCTTATTTTTTTCCCCAACATTTAAATCTGAGATCCACTTGGCCTTTGTCATGATAAACAAATGAGTGGTAGAACTTGTCATTGTTCTGTATTCCTACCTGCCCTTCCACTTAGTGACATATTGCCTTTCAGCTGGACTCATCAGACACATCTCCACCCTTTTTGCTTTAGATTCCCTCCAGTGGCTTTCTACGCACACCCCACTATCCCTGGCTTCCATATGCCAAAGCCTAATGGCATTTTCTTTAAGCTCCCTGGCAGGTGTATGATATCTAGTCACCTACTTCTTCTAGGACAATCCTTAATATTCCCCAAGACCACTCCTCTTTGTCCTCGGACTTCCTCTTCATTTCCAGGTGCTTGCTGAAGATAGAGTTCACTCTGAATGCTCACCTTTCTTTATGTGAAGCCCTGGGAGAGGTCGCTTTGCAGATTCCAAATGATCAACCTCTCTGCCCCAGCCTCCCTACACAGCTGCATCCTACTTCTCAAAGGCACCATGTCATCTCCACTAAGCTCATTTCAATCAAAAACATGAGCAAAACACATTTCTGTTTTCTCAAAATCCTTTTTAATCTGAAATTCCCCATTCCTCCTGCTACAATATTTCCTACCTCTTCCTTCTACCACTGCCACAGTTTAGTTTCAGGGTACTTTTTCATTGTTGTTTATGAATATCTCCATCGCCAGCACCTACATACCTGTGCACTGGCCTTTTGTGAAGTGAGAGACCTCTTTTTCTTTACCCATGATAAAGATTTATGTGAAGAACAGTATGTAATTGCTCCACATACGCCAACTCCACTCCTGACCCTCCCTATACACCTTGCTCCCCAGTTTCTTTCTTTCTTTTTTTTTTACATTTTTGTTTCTATTTGGTTATATATAACATTAGAGTTTATTTTGACATAATTTAAAAAGCATGGAATATAATCTACTCAAATTCAGTTCCCAGTATTTCCCCTTTCTCTTTTCTCCTCCCTCTTTGTTCCCTTCCCTTTACTCTACCGATCTTTCTGCTTTTTGCTTTTGGATTTTTTTTTCTCTTTTTTGGTCAGTGTCTTTTGGATATACATAATGTGAGATTCACTGTGGTATATTTATGTACGTACATAGGAAAGTTAAGTTAGATTCATTCCTCTTCTTCCCTTCTCTCTTCTCCCCCAACTCCGCCAGTTCCCTTCATCTAGCCCACAGATCTTCCTTCTTTTTTTGAATAAATTCCTCCCTCTTTTCCCTTTTTCTCTCTTTCCCTTATTTCCTTACTTTAGATGAGTTTCCACATATCAGAGAAAACATTTGACCTTTGGCTTTGTGAGGCTGGCTTATTTCCCTTAGCATGATAGTCTCCAGTTCCATCCATTTACCAGCAAATGCCATAATTAGAAACCTCTTTAGTCACATCCAGTCTCACCCAGAGCATCTCTAGCTATAGTTTCCAGATTAGGACTACTTCCACTTTGGAGGCCAACAGTTGCTTTCAGACTCATGGCCCTGGCTCACAGACAATACACTGTCTGCCAGCAGACCCCTTTCTCTCTCTTTCTTCATCTTAGAACCCAGGAAATGCCTCTCTTTTCATGGAGCGCTCACCCTCCTCCTTCAGAAAGCCTTTTTGTGGTATTAGTATCAATTCATGAGTCACCAACTTAAGAACTTGCTTCTGGCCACAGACCTACCCTCCTCAGACCATCTCTTGTGAAGATCAATTGTTTCTGGTTAAAGACATGAGGGTCTCATCAGATGTACAGATTTTGGCTTTGCTGGTTCTTCTCTTCATAACCTCATGTTCTCTTTAACCTATCCTGTCACTGACCCATAACCCTACAAAGTTCTGCTCAAAAATAAACCTCCAGCAATGTCACTAAGTAAAAATGCAAATCGAAGAATGGCACATTGGGTGTAACACCATGGACACGTGTGCGCAAGCACACTCTATTTCTCCTTAGATACCGTGTGTAAATATGCAGAAGTAGGCATTAAAAAGTGGGACACCAAACACAATGGCAGTATGCCTCAAAGGTGACTGTGGAGGCCCTAGGTTTGGCAGTGGTGATCAGGAGCCACTTTTTTTTTTTTTTTAAACCTTAGCCTGTTTGACCTTTGCTACAGTGAGAAATATATTCAGTCAAAAAATATATTTTAAATTCTTTAAAATTCACTTAAATGGTAGAAGTTCACTGTAGCTGAACTGGCAAATGACAGTGCTTTTAGAATTTTAGAATAAAAAGACCGTAAGTAAAACTTAAATTTCCTAAAAAAGTGGGGGACATGAATAGAAAATGTAGAGAATACTTGAAGCATATTCCTTAGAAATCAAACAATGCCTCCCACACATACACATACACACATCCTCTGTACATGGGCTTCATAGTGCTAGAGCAGTTACCTTCCAGGATTTTCTAAAAGTGTTAGAAAATCAGTCCTTACAAACATGTAGTTATAGAAAAAAAAATGACATAAAATTGCATGTTTTAAGGCAATTCTAAAGCATTTCTTTACCTCCCACTTTTAAGTTTTAGGCAGTTTGACTCTTTACTATTTCTACACACCCAAAGTGGCAATTCTCATAGAGGAGGGAGCCCATGCCCAAACTATACCTGCGGGGAGTTAGTAGGAAAAGAGACCCTGCTACTGGTGGGATGTGCCGAGCGGCCAACAGGCTGAGACCATTCACTTCCAAGTCCAGCATCAGAATTAAACATTATCTGTCAAAAAAGGTAATTCATATAAAATAACCACACATACCCCAAACTGTCTTCCTAATAAAGTCATGCCTCGCCCCCGCCCC